ATATATATATATATATATTATTTAGTTAAAATATATAAAATTGAAATAATTTTAGAAATTTTTATTTTGATTAACATCTTAATTTTTTAAAAATAATTATTGAAAATAAATTCAGTTGTGCTTATATATAATTCAAATAAAAAGCTAATATTAGATCAATACAATAAATTAAAAAAAAATAAAAATAAAAATTGCTAGAATAAGAATATATTAATAATTTAAAATAGTATAAAGTAAGATGTAAAAAATTGTAAAAATATTAATATTATAAAAAAAGCATAATAAAAGTAAAAAATATTTATGCTCATACATGCACAAGTACCAAATATAGTTATTAATATATTTTTTTATATTTATTTTATATTTTGGATTAAAATTTAAGAAATTCAAATAATTTTAGTGATTTTTATTTAATTAATATTTTAAAAAAATAAAAATAAAAATTTATTTAGAAAAAAAATGCTTAAAAAAATTAAGAATATACATTTAAATTTAAAAAACAAAAAGAAACATTTAAAATAAAATTATTGTATAATATTAACAAATAAATAACATTCAATTTCGTATTAATTGATGTGTCATTAAATATCCATACACGTGTCTTTCTATACTTATCCTTAACATGTTGCAAAAACATTAAAGCTGTTGAAAAAAGAGTCGAAGTATTATAGTGGTCACTGGTAAAGAAATAATTGGTTCACTCCCCTCTCTATTACTAGCTAGATCTAAATAGAGCAATTCAATTCATGCTAATTTCAATACGTTGAAAACACTTCATTGGACTATGTCCTTGATGGCCTCTCTCCCTACATCAATATATTTCTCTCACTTTCTTCTCACTGCCTAGGTGTGTGCAGACTACACATAGGGACATGAAAACGCACATACACATAGAAAATGGTAATGATAAAACCAAGACATTGACTACCGTATGCAGTAAATTTAGTTTAGTGTCATTGTTATACATAGATTGTTATATATTATTAACATCAATGTCTCTGCCCACAACACTTCTAAGGACAATAATATAAATTTTAAATATAAAAGGAGCAATTATCCTCCATATGTTTATAATGCTTTGAAATAATCTTTTAGAAATTCGATAAAAGAACTGATACTAGTAAAATATGTGTCGCGGTCCTTTCGTCCCACCATATCAACTTCCACCATAGACTAAATTAACACCAAAGATTTCAAATGCTAAGAGTTGACATTTTCTATAATAATGGTGTTCATGTGTCAAAATCTTAGGTCATCCACGTGTTTTTGCATTAGTTTGAAAATTAAAGATTTTGTGTTGCTTGAATATATTACTTATAAAATAAAATAGCATTATGGAGCAAAATCTGACTTTGCGTTACTGAGATTTTAAATAATGGAAATAGGAAAAGTATAAAGCGAAATTTGTTTTTACATCTACTTCAAATCAATGCAATATTTTATATTTTTTAAAGTCATTGACACACAAATTATTTTATATTCCAATGTATAACAACTTAAATGATCATTTGTTATTAAATCTTGATAATCTGTGAAAGATTTGTATGATTCAAATTTACTCATACCACTCTCTCAAAATTAGAGTGAAAAGAGTTAATCATAGTCTTCGGATCAAATTATATAATATTAAGATTAAAAGATAAATATGTAAAAAGGATTAGTATATCATTATTAAATAATTTTTAATCAAACTATATATGCATAATTACATGGTCTAAAATTACTCTTCTCACTCATAAATACTTTCTTACTTACTTTTATTAATATATATAAAAGGAGAAATTACATGACTCTAAAAATAATTTTAATAAAATTTAATAACTCATAGTATATGTTAAATTTTAATAATCTAAATTAAAAATTCTTAATACATAAATTAAGTTTATGATTTTTAATAATTTAAAAATTATTCGATAATTCATTGTATTAATTCAAATTAAAAAAATTATAAAATATATTATATAAATATATATAGAGAGGAGAGATTCATTTACTCTTAAATAAATGAATCTCTTTTCTTATATATAATATTAATATATAAGAGATATAGTTTCATAAACATAATGTTTGCATCAATCTATTTTTCATCTCTCTTAAACATGAGTTTTAGATATTTACATAAAAAGGAAAGAAAAAAAAAAATAGACATGAACTTAAGATCATACATAAATTTTGAAAGAATCATTATCATTAACACAAGAACTGTGAAGGTCACTAAAATGGTGCATTTTATTTTTTAATTGCATGCAATTTTGTAAAACTTTAGCTAGTATCTTTTTACATCCTAATAAATCCCGAGTCTCAAAATTTTAGGCTCATCAAAATTTCCGGTTATTATTATAATTCAACTAATTCATCAAGCTCGTCTATTTGATGAAAAGGTGTTACATTCCATTGGTAGTATATACAATTAAAGCTTATCTGATATGCTTTCTGTACTGCTGTTTTTAGTCATCTTTCAACTTAAAATTCATATATTTGTGGTGCTTCACTAAATAGCAAAGATTAGTAAAGGATAAGTGCTAAAATCAATGGACTCTAAACAATTCGTATTATTCGATGTTAGAGCAACATATATCAATTTCGAGTATGTGTTCTTTCACATCAGCAATAAGGTAAAATAAGAAAAAATGAAAACTCTATTAAATGATCTAGTTAAGATAATTAAAGATTCAAGACTCTACCAACCTACTTGCATTCTATGTTAGGAGGTCAAATGTACAAGTGTTATCATCAGGTAAATAATAGCAACAGCTAGCTTTGGGGAAATAAGCCACATATTTTAGCTGAAGAAAAATAGTTGAAAGAATTAAAAATAATTCTATGTGAGTAGCAGTTAGCAGCTACCTAGCTTTAATAGTTTGCAATGGAAATGTGCGGTTGGTGTTGATTTAAATGATTGCATTGAAGGATGAGAATTGACTCAGAAGTTGCATGTGGAATAAGCATTATTGCATGTATAAATATGTGTTAGATCCTACATTTGGAAAGTTGCTTGTAAATTGGACAAGGAAAGGTAGAGGGGACGAAGGGGAGCGAAGCAAGCACGTGACTCATTTTGATGATGGATTAGAAAGAAAGGAAAGTGTGGATAGATGAAGGAGACCACTACTGGAGTCATCATGTGTTTATTGTACCGAGTTTACTCAATCCCCAAATTAAGATCACATGAAAGTTAGACACATGACATGAACATGATGAAATAAAAAGAGGTTGATAATATGAGAGATACCACTAAGCAGCGTAGTTAGTGCTTATCTAATCTCAAGTGGGCATAGGACAGATTTGGGTTATCTGTAATTCACTGTCTCCCTCTTTTTTTTCTTTTCTTTTTTTTCTGTTTCCTTGACAAGGTACTGCAGAAGATTTGGCCTTTATATGCATGTTACTGGCACATAAAGTTCATCTCTTTGTTGTCACTTCACAAGGTCCCCAACCGGATAGGAATTGAACTAACACGAGGGTCAGACAAAGATATGAAAGAGAGAGAGAGTGAATTTTGGTAGCTATAGCTAGGTGAGACTATGAAGAAGGAAAGGGAAAAAGAGGAATTGGTTGCAGGGAAACGATGAATTTATTGTCTCTTCAAAAGCCCAACAAGAAAGTATTTGTTGGTTTCTAATAAATGGGCACAACAGGCACAGGGAGAGAGGCCTTATCAGCTTGTGTACTTTGGAGATATTTCACAAACTATGGGTCAATACTGTACAAACTTTTGCTCAAAAATATCATCACGTTTCCACGACATAAATGTATGGCCTAGAAACAGCCACCACAACTGGAAACTCTAGTTCGTCTAATCTGTCAACACTTCACCACTTTCTTTTTCCACCAAGAAATAAATACCAATAAAATAATAACACAAGAAAGGGCCTGCAAGTTAAATTCTAGAGTGGACTTTGATCTCTTTTAAACATGGTCATTGAGATTGCAGAATCTCAAGGTATATATTTTGTCAAAAAAAAATAAAAAGGAAAAAGAAAAATATTAAGGCTCACTTATGCTCACCCATACTCTCTAATTTACGTGGTGAAAATCCTCTACTTGATAAATAAAAAACCTTCATTTTCTTTGACATGAACAATAATAGAGAGGGCCTAGCAATTAAAGGCCTTCAATGAATCTGAAAAAGTTATAGCAGGCTTTCTGGTACTATGAAATCTTCGCCCAAAAAGAAACCGATGCATTCAATTCACCTCAAGAGACTTGATAGTAATATTTCTAATGGACTAACCTTGCATTTGTAGACAAACGTCAGTGTTTAACGGCTTTAGCCTTTTATATATATATATATATATATGAGTCAATTGAATTAACCTTTGCGTCTCGAACTTGGATTCGAATAAAATATTATTTTCAATCACTTCAGTTAACCAATCTCATGCACGAAACCTACTTCATGTGTACCATGCAGTATCCTCGGTAGTATCCTTTTGAAAAAGAAACGTAGGAAAAATCAGCTAGATTATCTTTGCTGATCCAATTTGTGAATATACTTTATGCTTAGTTACATAATATACACAGTTGAAAGCACAATTATAAATAGACAGATAAAAAGAAGTGGAGATGGAGATGGAGATGGAGATGGAGCCTTAAACTTAATAATTATGCCATAGATTACGGGACTATAGAAGATATACTAAAGTTGCATAGTTTTATTCACAACTTGCTGAAAAGCCACTCAAAACAAAGGATCATATATAGTAGATAAAGACACTCGAAGAAAAACTCACACACACTCTTTGCCAAGTTACTGCACGCTATTAACACAAAACATCTTTTAAGACACAAAAGTCACCTTCTATAATATTAGTTTTGTTTTCTCTTGTTCTCGGTTGGCCTGAGACGCTAGCTTTGTTCTCTTTTCCTCAACACATTACATCCTTAAGAAGTTTGTACCTGCGTGCCCCGGGTCGCGGCGACGGTGTGGGACTGGTTCCCTTCTCGGAACCACTCTCGTCACGATGATCATGCTGCTTGATCATTTTCTCCCCGGAATATTCCGAACGGTGGGTGGCTCCAACCTCGTTTCCGACCACGGTTTTCTTCGAATTGGAGCCAATATGTCTCACGTTCTTCTCCTCACTCTGACACCAATCGCACAGTTCTATCTCCGGTAATTCTCCGTAGTAGTTGCTACAATACCTGAAGGAGATTAATTAAACTTTAAGCCTAATAAAACCAACCAAAGTACAAAACGAATTAAATAATCACACATGTCCTAGGCAGGACTTAGGAAGCTACTTATGAACAAAAAAAGTTGGCATAAATTATAAATATCCCCATGTCCATGCCCATGAACACGATCATGATTTTTGTATGCAAAAAATAAAGTCGTTGGAAAAATTAGAGATTATTGGGTTATGATAAAGAAAGGTAGGAGTTGGGAGTAGATGTATGTAGAGGCGCATGTCTATGTATATATGTGTATATATTTATGTATAATATGGTGAAGGAAATGATGGTGATGATTAAGAAGAAAGGGAACATACGAGTGTTGGAAGCGGTTGCGACATTTGTTGCAGCGGAAAAGTTTGTCGGGGAAACCAACGTCGCCACACATGCAGCAAACGGTTTGAAGATCCACCATTGTTTTTGGTGTGAGCTGAGACGAAAAGAAGAGAAAAAGAGGCGAATTTTGAGGGAGAGAGACCCAAAAAGCCAAAGAGCACACACGAACGCAAAAAGAAAAAAAGAGAGAAAAGAATATGATCATCAAGTGAAAGAGAAGAGAGAGAAATAGAGATAGAGAGAGTTTATACTTTATATAGAGAAAGAAGAGTAGTGGCCAGTGGGTGTGTTGAGTCGGTGTATGAAACCGATGTGTACAGTGGATGTTACTTTTGCCATATACATTTTAAAAAAATAAAAAATTGAGTACTCCAAAAAAAAACTTAACTGGGTCTGAGTAAGAATATTTATTATCAGCTATAAATTATTTTTTATAAATATGTAATTTAATAAAATTATATACTTAAAGTTTAAACTTAATTTCTTTAATTAAGCTATAACAATTTCACGTGATTGATCCACTTATACAATAAATTTTTTTGAATTTATAAATACATGTATCTCTCATTAAAACTGATGGTACAAGTTGTAAAGCTCTTCTTTATTCACAAGTTTACTAATGAATAAAATTTATTTAAATTTACATATACGTAACTTTATTTTTATTTTTAATAGATTTTAATTAACAATGGTGTGGAAAAAAAATTAATTAATAAATGAGAGTATATTAAAAAAAAATTATCAATAGTGTTTTTATGTAATTAAGAATATACTTTTAAAAGTTAAGAAAGAAAAAAGAGCCGTAAGAAGAATGTTAATATTATTAAAAAAAATGAAAAAAAAATATTAAATATAATTTAAATTAATGTTATAAAAAATGGAAAAATATTGAATATAATTTAAATTAAAAAGAATAGCAATATACTCACAGGTAGACCACAGGTTGCTCGCAGTCATTTTCAGTTAGGGCAGGCAGCCATAGAGAGAGTGGGGGAAAAGACAGTTATGACCCATTGCTGAGGTTGTTTGATTATCATTTCTTACCTATCTTTTATGTATTTCTATCTTTCCTTTTCAACAGCTTTTGTCCTGTTTGTGAATTTTGCAATTGCCATATAAAATTGGTAAGTTAGCCATCAGAAGTTGTAGTTGTAGTTGTAGCCAAGACATGACCATTTCACTTCCACGCACTCACGCAAATCCCTCTTTC